CCGGGGACAGTGGACTTTAGCAACACCCATTTTCATGAAAAGTACACAAGCTGCCCATCAAGTAGTCACTTCCGCAATTCTGTAAGCTGCCAATCAAAGTGCTTTAACCCCCTATGGCTGCCAAGACTCCAATCCAGCCACCAGCTCCTGCAGGAGACCCAAGCCAGACCCAGTCACTCCACAGTGACTGTCAAAGACGCTGCCTCATCAAAGGCTTTACTTAGGGAGGCTTGGCTTCTTGAGGCCACGGCAGTGTCTGTCAGAGGCTGCCCTCCAGATAACCGGGTCCACGGCTACTACTCTGACCTCATCACAAGGGACCTCATAGCAGCAAATCCTCAACCCAGTCAGAGAGGAGCTCTGCCCCAACCCAGGACAGCTAGTGAGCATGTGGGACCGACTGGCCAGCTAAGGAAACCTGTCCTCTCTCTCTCTCTCTCTCTCTCTAGCAGCTGTCTGGGAAACCTGGATCCCCTGTGCTGTCCCTGAATGCCATTGCAGCATAGGCCCCAAGGATCTTCCTTGCGGGAGTCTTATCGCCCAAAAGTAGAGTGAGCTGAGCAGACTGCATGAAGAACAGGCGACTCCCGGGGTTGCCAGCTCCCACACCCAGCAGCAGCTAGCAGGTGGCAGAAGAGTCTTCGGCTAGGAACAGAGACTGAGACAAAGATGAAGGACTGGGGAAGTGCTGGGAAGGTGGCAGGCAGTGGGGAGCAAATCGCAGGTGAAGAGCCGTGGAAAGTAAGAATAGAAAAACTACAAAAGGCAAGAGAAACAGAGCTGGGACTGCGGGAGATCTGTGAGCCTCCACTGCTGGCAGAGTTTAAGGAAGAGCTACTAGTTAGTTCCTGCTGCTGAGAAGAAGCCCAGAACAGTAACAATGAGAGCTGAGGGGCCCTGCACCCTCGGCTAAGAGCTGTAGCACAATATACTGGGTGCTAGGCCGCTTACCTAAAGCTACAATACTCAGAATGAAGGGTGCTAGGCACCCCAAGCTACGCTTGGTCCACTCTCCATTTCCATTAGATCAGGGCAGAAGAACCCTCAACCCCATAGACTGGTGACAGACACCCCCTCGGTGACAACAAGAGAAAGTCAGTAGGGCCCAGAAGACAAGCAGCCAGCACTCCCAACGGGCTGGACTTCACCACCGAATGCTCCACACAACCGCAGAACCAACTTTTTTTCCAAGTCTCCCTAGAACATTTATCAAGCTACACCACAGCAATGCTGGGACACAGCAGGGGTCACAGCCAATTTAAAACAATTCAAATTAAGGCCTGGCTCAGTTGGTAGAGTGCCTATTCAGCATTCACGAAGCATTACATAAATCCGGTGTGGTGGGACACGCCTGTAATCTCAGCACTGGGGAAGTGGAAGCAGGAAGGTGAGAAGTTCAAGGTCTCTCCGCTACACAGCAAGTCAAAGCCACTCTGAGCTGCATGAGACCCAGTCTAAAAACAACAAAATGAGAAGTAGTCATGATGGTCTGTCAGCTAGACAGGCACTCTGATCACCAAGGAGACAGGCCCCTGAGCACGCCTGTGAGGGATTGTGAGGGATTACCTAGATTCCCTTAACTGAGGTAGGTCTTCCTGTGAGCAGCATCTTAAGCTGAGGTCCCGGACTGAATACAAAGGAAAAAATGAGCTGAGCACCAGCATCCATCACTCTCTGATTCCTGATAACAATGCGGTACCATAAGCCACCTCAAGCTCCTGCCACCAACACATCCCTACAAGAATGGTGTGCGCCCTGAACTCTGAAGGGAGGGGGCACGGGGGACAGGGAACGGGGGACGGGGCACAGGGGACGGGGGACGGGACCCTTCTCCTTTCAATTGCCTGTGTCCAGGTATTTTATCACAGAAAACAAGAAAAGCACGCAGCCACAGGAAGTCTCCGTTCACAGAGATATCAGATATCCAATGAGAAGCTGCTAGCGATGGGCAGGAGAATGAAGCAGCAGCACAATCCTTGCCAGCTCCTTCTGCTGCTGTGGAACCTGCTGAGACACCTCGCTTGTGGGAGTTAAAGCATTCACAGGGTTTCACTGCGCAGGCCTACCCCGCTGAAGTTACCTGTCTTGAAGTTCGTGGTGGAGACTCGCCCTTCCCCAGCCCATCCTAAGCCCCAGGGCCTCACTTGTCAGCCCCAGCTCAATCAAGGCAAACCTGTTTGATAGTCCCTGTCTTCCAGACAGCTAGGGAAAGCAGACAGGAGAGAATGGAGGGAGAGATCTGTGGACCATGCCTCCAAAGGCTGCTCAACCTAAAGACAGTGGCCATCACCGAAATCTGTGTCACAGGGCAAGCTGGGCATGGACAGGTTAAGAACCTTCTGGAAACTCCAGATCCCAAGAGGAAACTTCTAACACAATTCCCCCCAATAGCAATATAACTGCACTAACAGGTCCTCAGTGACCTCATTGGTCAGTCTGGAAAAACCCCACTACTACTGGCCAACAGTGTCCAGGAATGATTCATGTGTCTATTTATTTCAAAGCCCTTTTAATGGCACATTAGCATATACCAAAGAAATAAGCAAAAGGCACCAAGAATCGAGTATCATCTCACTTCCAAGCTCCAGTGGCCCAGAAAATCTACAAATTTGCATTAAGATCAGAATCACCCAGTGTGTTAAAAACAGACTCCTGGGGTCCCCTTCAGATAACATCACAAGACTCTCCAGAAATGGGACTCTACATTTTCAACATCATAGATAATTCTTTTTTTTTTTTTTTTTTTTTAAGATTTATTTATTTATTATGTATACAGAAGAGGGCACCAGATCTCATTACAGATGGCTGTGAGCCACCATGTGGTTTCTGGGAATTGAACTCAGGACCTCTGGAAGAGCAGTCAGTGCTCTTAACCTCTGAGCCATCTCTCCAGCCCCCATAGATAATTCTTAAGCTCCAATACATTAGAGCAACTGGAAGGCAGTGTTAGGAGCTAAAGGTACATTTGCTTTGAAAAGAGACAAGAGGGTTAAAAATCCTAACTCAGCCAGCCACCCACTGGTTGCTGACACTAGCCAAGTGACCTAACATCTCAACAACTCCGTCAACTGGGATCACCAGTCACTCAGAGGTGTTCTCTGTTGTCCAGTATGTTCAAAACACCCCAAGGGCAGTACCGAGCAAAGGACAGCCACACAAGCAATCCGAACCACTGCTTGGCAAAAGAGCAACAAAAATCTGCCCCAAACAAGCAATCCATCATGTTTTCTACTTAATGGAAATTACACAGGCACAAGGCCAGCCTTCCAAGATAATCTTAGGAAAAAGGCTTTTCTGGGCACTGTGACGGCCAAGAACAAAGACTCATTTCAGAGTCCAGTATTTCACCCAGCAGCCCAGATCAGGTCCCTCCCTGGGCCCCAACCAAATAAGAATCTTTCCTTCCTAAGTCCCTATGTCACCCCCATCTCCAGCTGCAGGGCTGACAGTCAAATGTGGAGTGGCACATTTTGAGTGGACTCCTGGATAAGAGGCAGGGAGCAAGGAAGGAGACCTGGGGCTCTGTGAGGCTGCGGGGTTCAAGGTGGGCAACCCCAGGATAGTGACAAGGTATATAGGCTGGACTCAAGAGCTGTGACCCTGATGTAGTCAACTCTACCAGTAACTCAAACACATCCTCGGGGAATGCCTTCCCACACCCAAGAAGTGGAAGAACACCCCTAACCGGCTGTGAGGGGGGAACAAAGGAGAACCAGGCACATGGAGCCAGGGACCATACACCGCTGTCCTTTGCACCTGAAAGGCCCAGGAACCAGGACGGCTCGACCATGTTGGACAGTCCAAGTCGGGGTTCAGAAGATATGGGAAGAACAGAACCCCACCCTCTTGCTACTCTGGGGAAAGGCACAGGCCAGCAAGTCAAAGGCCAGAGTCCCTCCAACCCCACCACGCCGCTGGGGCAATTCAGACACAACACTGGCCTCAGTTTCTCCATCTGTACAAAGAGCCAAGAGGCCTTCAATGACACACTGACCACAAGTTGTTATTACAGAGGGTAAAGGGCTGCGTGGCGTTAGCGGATAGGTGGGAGGGGGCGGAGCTGAGGCGACCGGCGAGGACAGCCTCCCACCCTCCAACCCTCCCACCACGCTGCAGGGGCGCAGGCCCACGGGGAGTCACGCGCCCACTGCGCCCAATCGCGGGCCCCGGCCAGGCAGAGCGGCAGGCGGAGGGGCCTCTGAGCTCGCCGGCAACGCCTCCAGCACCGTCCGCCGCTGCCCGCCGCCGCCCGGGACCCTCCCCAGCGGCGCTCACCTGCCGGGGCCGCCGCCACCGCGGGCAATCAGCCGCCGCCCGCACTTCCGGGATCCGCGAGCCCCGCCTCCGCCGGATGTGACTCCCTCCCGAGTCCGCGCCGGGAGCGGGCCGCGCTGCCCCTCCGCCGTGCCTGGGGCCTCCCGCCTCGTGGGCCGCGGGGCGGTCAAGATACCGGCGCTCATACGCGGGCGACAGCCGGGAACCACACCCGCGGAGCGGCCCCGCCCGCGCGGGAAGGCCCCGCCCCGCGATCGGACTCCGCCCATGGAGAGTGCGCCTGCGCAGACTTGCAGGCGTGTCTTGGATAAGCCCTGAAGGTCCTGAGAGCTGAGTCTTGGAATCTCCAAAGGGAGGCCCAGCTGGGATAGTTGGACTGCGGCCCCCCCTGCCCTGCCCTACACACTCATTTTCATAGTTTGGCCCCAGGACTAGAATAGCTGCGGTCCCGAGAGAGTCCCCTTCAGGCTCTGCAAACAGCTCTGAATCCTTTTCCTAAAAAGTCATCCTTTGTCAGGATCCTAGATTGCACGTTAAGTCCTCTGTAGATGGGTAGCTCTGTATCAGCACGGGACCTGATTCATCCTCGCTCGCCCAGAGTGGTAAGCCCCAGGAAGGCCTGAGAACAAACCAGCCCTGAAACGTGAACACCATTCCCCAATGCCCTCTCAGCAGTCGTGGTTATGAGGACCTTGGGAGAGAAGCTTCCAGCCTGAGAAAACCATGCCACCTGGATGCCACGCCTTGTTATAGGTAGACTTTTGTTGCTAGTGGCAGAGACCAGCACAAACCGGCTTCTGCAAAATGGGAATTGTTAGATCATAGAGAGGGGAAAAGTCCAGAGGCCCCAGTGACAACAAGGTCAGTGTCATCCAAAGCCTTTTGCTCCTTCACTTGAATCTTAGTTCTGTCCACACACAACAGCTCTCATCTCAAAGGGGATGAAAGACGTTTTGTTCTGAGCCAAGTAAGAGTGACCCTGGCTTGGGACACAGAGTCGGGCTGCCTTAAATAACATGTTCCAAAGTAGAAGTGCTTTCGTGACGCTTGTAAGTAGCAGCAAAAGTAAGGCATACATCAAGGCATTTTCCAAATATAGTCCTGGGAACATCACATCAGTGGGTTACAGCAAATTAGGAGAAACCTCTGCTTGGGTCTGAGACGCTATTTAACACATTTTAGCTTTCCAGTTGGTGGAGCTGGGGATCTGCTGAGTTAATGAATTGCAAAGGTTTTTTTACCTGATAATCACAAGGATGTGAGGTCAGGCACAGAGTGAACAATGGTTATCAAGAAGACTAAAGATAATTCTGAGACAAGTTGACCCTGTACCTGTAACATTTCAACTCTCCATAATCAAGAAGTTCTAATCACTCATCAATTATAAACACAGTTGTAGCCTTTTTTTTTTTTTTCAGGGAACTTCAGTTTCACATCTGTTTCCCTTTTATGTCATCGAGTTTTCAACAGGAGCTCCCAAATTTGCTATTTCGATTCTAGATTTAGGATAATTGTCACTGTTCCCACTGGGAAGAACACCCTCCCCTTTACTACTGCATGTGCTGCCCGGTCATGTAATCCACCTTCATCAACCAGATTTTTTTTTTTTTTTGAGACAGGGGTCCCAAGGTTTCAAGTAGCCCATGCTGTCCTAGAACTCTCAAAGTAGCCAAGAATGACCTCCTGCCTGTGCTTGCCAAGTGCTAAGATTACAGGTGGGCACTGCCGTGCCCAGTGTTATGCCATGCTGGAGGTAGAAGCCAAGGCCTCACACATGCTAGGCAAGCCCTCTACCGACTGAACCACATCCCCAGCCTGGAGGACAGTTACTGCAGAAGGAATCAGTACAGATGACAGTCAGCTACCTAACCAAGAGGTGCTACTCCTGGGTACCAGCCAACATGATGGGGACTCAGTGCCATTTTTTTTTTTGCGAATGTCTCCTAAGGTCAGAGGACTGTTAACAGCAGCTTCCAGAAAGTCAGGTTGACGCTGTTTCTCTAGGGTCCGAAGGGCCAGCCAGGGTCCAAAGGGCCAGCCAGGGTCCAAAGGGCCAGCCAGGGTCCGAAGGGCCAGCCAGGGCAGGTGAGCTTGACTGTTTTCGTCATCTCTTATGCTATGTGTGATTTATTTGTTTGTTTGTTTGTTTTTAAGCTGAAAAGGAGAGGCTCCATTTTGTACATCATGGTATGCAGATGCTGGAAACTGCTAGAGCTAAACCCTAAACCACCAGAACCTGAGAATTTGACAGAAGCATGGGGGTGGCAGGGGGGGGCGGGGGCGGTGGAGTGGTGAACTGTAGCATCCTCTCTGTAAGCACTGCCTCCGTGCCAAGCCGTGGTGCGTGGACTTTCTGAGTAACCAAACTTGGAGCATGATGGGAGGGAGGGAGAGCTGGTGAGAGCTGGTGGCAGAAAACGGTCTCCTGTGAGAGGATGTTCTAGGAAGGGTGCCTCAACCTGGCTTCATAGACTCCCCAAAGCAGCCCCCGGGCTAGCTGGAGGTCAGGAAACCTCTGGATCCACAAACTAGGCCTGGAGACCACAAAGCCATCCTTTCAACTCTGCAGCTGGCTAATCCGAGCTACTAGCCTAGACCTCACAGCCAGACGACACTTTGTCAGGACCAGTTCCAAGTCCCAGTTCATGCTCTGCCACTAAAGCACCCTGACCTTGGTCAAGTCCCTTCTGCTTTCTGGCACTCTGTTCATCATGTGTAATGCCAAGGGCAGACCCAGAAGTCATCCTCCTTCAAGATACTCCATGATGGGGCTGGAGAGATGGCTCAGCAGTTAAGAGTGTGCATTCCTCTTGCAGGGAACCCAAGCTCAGCTCCTAGTATCCAGATCAGGCACCTTACAATCTCCAGCTCCAGCTCCAGGGGATCTGATGTCCTCTTCTGGCCTCTGCAGACACCTGCACTCACATGCTTGCACACACATGCACACAACTAAAAATAATAAAAATAAAATATTTCAAAGAGTGAAAGAAATCATGACTGGAAGAACATTCCATAGAGGGGGAAGAACATTCCATGCAAGGGCTTGAGATAACCAAGCTCAATAAATGCCTGCTTTCTCATCTGTAGTCTTCCCTCTGTACTTGAACACAACACTGTCACCCAAGGGACCTCTATACCTCATTACCCACTGCGACCTAAAGCCTCATTCATGCTTGATTTCTTGGCTCAGAGTGAATGGCTGTGTGTGACCAAGGTAGGGTAGTCAGGGCTGTCAACAAAGCTAAGTTTACTCTGGGCTCAGGCCACATGGATAGGCTGGCTATCTTCAGTAGCACAGAAGAAGTCATGTCTGCCTGGAACAATGGCTCTGCCCTCTTGGTTTGCTTTTGTATGCCCTCTCCAGTTTTCCTGGAAAGTGCACCCAGCCCCTGATCGGGCTATAGAGAGAGTCAACACTCTTGTCTAATCTTCCCTGGTGTGACCATGTGGCACCCAGTGATGGCCCCACCCCTGGCAGGTAGGTCCTGCTTCCTGCATTCCCTCAGAAGGTGGACAGGAACTTAGCATCAGCACCTGTCCCAAGGCCTATGTCCGGCAGTCACTGGGACAGAGAAGTACCTGACCTTTCCTAGTGGCCTGTCCTGTTTCCCAGCCAGATCCCTGTAACAAGGTCCTCAGGAAGCATGTGTGGTCTTCTTCCCTTTGCAGGGCACTCAGAACTCCAAGGATGCTCTTGAGCTGCAGAGGCACGAAATCCTGGACTTCAACCTCATCTGAGCTGTTCAACTCAACCATGCAAAAAAAAAAAAAAAAAAAAAAAAAAGACTAAAACGTGTTTCCAAGCCTGTGACATGATGTCATGTCAAAGCTCACACCTAAGAACTGTGCAGTTGAATAACAGCAACAACACCAAAATCACACACCAACTAAGTCTTGTAACACTTTGAGCAAGTTCACAATTTTGTGTTGGGCTGCATGCATTCTTAGCTATCCCGGGATGCGTGCAGACCACAGGGTAGACAAGGCTAGTGGGACATCTGCTTCCAGCTGGCAAAATCCAAGCAGAAGTTGCTTGTGACTTGATGTGCCAGTGCCATGCTAACACAGGAGAGGAGGAAATGCTGTGGGCTGCCAAGCTGGGCATGGTCCAGCGCTAACCTGCACCACCAGCTGCGGCTTCCTGCTGCCAGTGCAGCTGCAGCTGCCCCTGTGGTCCCTGGCCCCTTGACTCTCTCCTGCTGCTCCAAGGCTGTGGATCTGATGATACAGATGTGAGGTTGGAACTGAGGAGACAGGCGAAGAACCTCAATGAGGGGCAGCTGCCAACCCCTGAGAGACGCCCATACCATTGGGCATCTCTGCCTCCCCTTATCAAGGCTCTCAGCATCTATCCCCCACCCCACCCCGGGAAGAGATGGTCCAAGCCCAGAAGCCCTGGATTCCAGTACTCTCTGCCTTACCTTATAGATCCTGGTAAGTCACATGTCGCAAGTGTTCCCTCTTCCAAAGAAAGGAGATGGGTTTGGGAAATACGGGGACAGTCACTCCTGTCCAAGTGCCAACGCTGACTAGTAGGACACCCGGCTGAAGGTGAACTATGTTGCTCAGGACTCTGTCTGTGGCTCTATCCAGAAGTCAGGAGTGCTGGAATCAACTGGTGATGTCTGCTTGGCACTCAGGATGGAGAAGGCAGACCAGGTGCCACATTCCCAAGTCACAACCTACCTGCCACCAAGAACCAAAGAACCCTGCCCATGGGACACTCTGCCACTTGGATTCCATGAGATGTCATGAAGCAAAAGTTACCAATGGGAAGTATGAGGACTCTCCAATAGGAACTTGATCCGGGGAACAAGTCACTTCCCCTAAAGGATGGAAAACAGGAAAGGACTTGGAGTCCCAAGCATGCCAGCGAGAAGCAGGTGAATTTTAAGATGAAAGATGTTCCAGGTGTCCAGAGCCTTTGAGGTGACCTCAATACCCAGAGCCATCAAAGAGCCAGCAGATGCCTGTGTCCCCTCCCCTGACGCACAGCAGCAGCCATTGTCTAAGGCCGCCTCATCTGAAGCAGGAATCGGAGCAGAAAGGACCAGACCCAGCCTCCAGCATCCGTGTCCCAGAAGATACATGTGGGACAGGACCCCTGGTAGGTGCTGCTGCAGTCTGCGGTCTGCTTTCCGCTGCCAGTCGATCTGTTTAATTTCAGCCCTTGGCTCACCCTGCATATCCCACCGCCCTAGGTGACCCTTTCACCGCCTCTCCTACCCTGCAAACCCCTGGTTCCCTTCCAGGGTCCCTTTCCCGTCTGACCCCTCCTGTATCCCACACCAACAACTCTCCGCTCTGTTACTCACTGTGACCCCCCACCATTTGCCCTTCCTAACACCCCACTGCTCCAGCCTGGGCTCTCTCCCTCCATATGGAGGTTGATTTCCCTTACCCCGCAGATGGTCTCAATGACAGGAAAGCCAAAAAGAGCAAGAGCCTCAATTTGTTACTTCTCAAAATTGCCCCCATCTCTCCTACTTCTAAGCCCTGCCCTAGGCTCATCAAAGTGGCAAACTGGGTTAGGTAGCCCTGGGGTGATGGAGCAGGGCACAGGGGGGTCCAGAGCCAGTGCTAGGCTGCCTAAGTTTGCCCTTCTCGGTGCTGCGGGCCGCAGGAATATATCATAAGAACTCAGCTGGTTATGGCAAAGTCACTACCT